AAAAAAAAAAAAAAAAAAAAAAAAAATATTCTCCAACTCTGCTACCACTGTAGGTTCAGGAAAGTATGAAGACCGAAAAATATTCAAGGTAAAAATCAAGTATAGACGCAAATCTCTAAAAACAGTAAAGGAACACAAGATTTTTCGGCCGAAGCCCCGAGGTTCGGCGATTTATCAAATCGCCTAGTCCCCGTTGAGCATCCATAAAGGAATAGGCTCAAATCCACTAAAATCACCGGCCACATACCACAAACTTCGATTACAACCGGAACACACGGTTCCAACCACAGCATCTATCAAAACCCTCAACACCGAATTGAACTCACACAAGAGTTCATAAGGATTCAATCTCTTTACAGAAATCTACACAAAAATCTAAGAAAGAATCACCAAATTACAGAGAGAATAATATGAAAAATAGAAGCTACGCGAGAGAGAGAACCACTCAAACCCTACTATCAAAACCCTCAACACCGAATTGAACTCACACAAGAGTTCATAAGGATTCTATCTCTTTACAGAAATCTACACAAAGATCTAAGAAAGAATCACCAAATTACAGAGAGAATAATATGAAAAATAGAAGCTACGCGAGAGAGAGAACCACTCAAACCCTACTATCAAAACCCTCAACACCGAATTGAACTCACACAAGAGTTCATAAGGATTCAATCTCTTTACAGAAATCTACACAAAAATCTAAGAAAGAATCACCAAATTACAAAGAGAACAATATGAAAAATAGAAGCTGCGCGAGAGAGAGAACCACTCAAATCCTAGACTCCCCTTTTATAAGAGAGATGCCCCATTTTGATCCAACGGCCTTTATTTTGCCAAGTGTCGAAATTTAGTATAAGTTGTTATTTAAAAACTGAAAACGCGTTTTCTCAAAATCATTTTTCAGTTTCGAGATTCTTCTTCATTTTGGGTCATTGGACCGGGTATGGGCTGAGTCCTTAAATTTGGGCTGGGCTTCCACATAAAACAGCAACCCATTTCTACATTAATCTTGACCCTTACATGGATGAGAGAACAGAACAAGCACGATGCAAGATAACGCTTTCCATGGTATGATTATTGTCATACTTGTTCTTCTCATCAACATTAACAGTGAAAATCAGCGTATGTCAATTAAGGAGAGGGAAGCAGCGTCACGCCGGAGTTCGGCAATGTCACTGACACGGTGAACGAGGGAATCTGGCATGCACGGGAATAAAGACATACATTTGCACGCCTGATTCAACACCATTCTCTTCCTCTAATTACAGCTGTTCTTGCCGGATGAGGAATAGACATGGATTCAGCTCATTATTTTGTAAATTGTTAATTCGTGTGCTTTAATAAGGTATCTGATCTATAAATTTTGTTCAAATGGGTCATCAAACTTCCGTTTTTTGCACTCATATCCTCGACTTCTTATCAAAAAGATTTTGTGCAACACGATTAATCCACTAGACAAACCTGCCACATCAGTCCAAACCCTTCCCTCCCTCCCAAACCTCGAGAGAGAAATAATACAGAGATAGAGCCCAGCACTACACAATCTTTTACGAATGTGATTGAGCAGCACTAGTCAAATGCTTGGATGTTCAAAATGTCCTTCCACCAAAAAACCTTGTTATAGACATTTAGACAATAGTTTAAAACTTATTTTCAACTTATAATTTAGCTAGTAATTCCTTTGTTTTTATAATTTTCATTTGATTTTATTATTTGTAGGATCTTACAATCCTCAAAATTACAATCCTAACAACTTAGGTTGGGAGTAAGGGAGTGGACCATGCTACACTACCAGACCTGTAAGAGGCCTAATAGTGTAGCCCCTCTCACAGTTCGGGGTGGGGGTGGGTTTTTTTGGTGGGGGGGTATTTTTTTAATTGTGGAGCCCGCCGAGGTGAGAGAAAATGGAAGAAAAGCTCCTCTACCAGGGCTTTTACAAATCTGGTAGAGGAGCATTACTCAATCTGATTTAAGAAATAGATTCCTTAAGTCCTTTCAAAGAGAAGCATACGTGCGCAAGAATCCCTATGACACAAGAAAAGAGTAGAGCAAGAAACGAAAAAAACTTATGCTACATCTGTAACTGATGAACAGGATTACATTTTTTTTTAGCTTATATCGATCAAGTCTACATAGAGTTTAATTCCAACCAGTCGTTCGTTTGTTATCACATGCATAGGACCAAAATGAGTCGATCACGCAACAGTTGTCTCCTCTATGATATCTTCTACTAACTCAGCTTTTGGTTCCAAATCTATGAACTGGTTCGACTTGCTAGCTAGGAGTGAGATGCTGACCCTACCCTCACGCTTTATATAATCAGCAACAGCTTTCATTTCTTCCAGTGAGATGTATATGTACTTTCCTCGATCATCCATCACCCCAGATAGTCTTCCTGATAAAGACACAATCACATTTTTAGTACTTGCCAGAATAAAAAAGAACACTTAAATGTTTACTTGTATAAATTCCAGGATATGACAACATAAATCTCCTTCAGATTTTGATAATACATGGAGCAACGTAAAGCACATTCTAAGGGAGGAAATGGGGAGGGGGCCCTTTAGGTGAAATTATAGAGGCTAGGACACTACATTTTTAACCTGAATAGTGCATACACATATCCAAGGACTTGAGAGCTAGGGGTCGTGCATTTCAGCCAGCCACCGGTGTTCAAGGAAAGGAGGTAAATGCTTGAATGCCAAAGATACATCTAGATGTTCAATAATAAGCCATACAAAAGTTGGAACAAATTATGGATCAACATCAGGTTAAGATTTCTTTCGACTGATAGGACCTCGTCTGGATAAAAGCTGCACATGTACTTAATATTCCTCATCCTCGTGAACATTATTGCTAATCTCATTAAAATTCATTACCATGCTTTAGTATCTGTGATCAAACCTTTGTCTTTTGGTGATTAAAACCCTGGGTTCAAACCCTTTTAAGTCAAATTATAACCTCGTCACTAAGTGATTAAAATACCATATTGTATCCTTGGATTAATATGCACAAACATTGAACCGGCTATTGGTTAAGAAGATACAATTGCTACAAAATATAGGGCATGCATACCAGAAGGGAACAAAATCGTACCCATATTTTCTAATGAGGTTATCCGATTGATACAATCCTGCATCAACCAAAATCCATATTGCATTAGAAAGGGAGCTACCAAAGATTAATATAGTAGTAAAAAAATTCCAATGTGTCTACTTAATATACAATAAGATGAGTAATATGGTGCAATTTTGAAATAAATACAAATGTGAACATTTTCCGACTATTCATCCTTGACGAAGGGAAATAATTCCATTGCCCAAATCAGATCGCCATATCTCGATAGTAGACACTGAGAGAAGGGTGAGAAAAAGCAAACAGGGGCTACCTGAGTTCGTAACTTAAATTCTGCAGCAACATCTTCCAGAGGAACGCATTTGTGCTTCTGAAATAAATGGAAAATATTAAGATCATAACCAAATTAGCAGATCATCTTTCAGTCCATAGGTTATTATTATATTGGAATTGCTGAAAACATAAGTTCCTTTTTCAATGTCTATAGCACGTCTGTGCAAAACTGAATCAATAATCAAGTACCACGATGATATTAAAGAGACACACAATTTCTTTGCTATGGGGCAGGGAAACTTGACATCCAGATGCTAAAAAAATTTCACGCTAGTGCAATTAAGCATATAGAAAATATAGTATTTGAACAGAAAAAAGAACCAAGGTCCCACTGAATTTACCTTGATGTATTCCACAAAATCAAAGAGCAAACCCTGATTTCCGTCTTGCACCTCATTTTCTGTTGTACCTTCAGCATCAATTGAAAATTCCCCTTTCCACTTGTCAAACTCCAAGGAAGCAGCTGCTTCTTCCTCAGCTTTTCGAGCTTTGGCTTCTTCTTCCTAGATAAATTATATCCACATCTTTTAATGGGGCATATAACAGTCCAATACTTTAAAAATACACAAGAAATCTAGATCAACCAACCAGCATCCTCTCTCGAGCTTCATGCTCTTCATCCTTTTTTCTCCTCATCTCATCGTAATGGTCTTGTTTTGTTCGCCTTGACTCACGAGCAGCCACTGCAGCCTTTAAAAACAGTCATAAAGATATATAAGTGACACTCCCAAAATAGAAAAATAAATAGGAGCTTCATACGAAACCCATTGACTGACAAATGATTTAAAAATAAAGAATGTTACTCTCTAGTGGGCTTCAACAGTGTTTTCAATCAACATTTAATCAAAAAGGTGTACTAGACCATTTGGTCATCAGAAAATAGGAGTCAGCTCAATGGCTCATAGTCATAGACAAACCAGATATACGCATGGAGTACAATAAAACAGAAAACATCAAGAAATGGAAAAGAATCACTTGTCGTTGTGCTTCCCGCTCCTGTCGTTTCTTTTCCCTTTTCTTCGACGCTTTAGCAGCATAATATCCATCTCCAGGGGTGAATAAATAAAAATAGCAAAAGTCTAAGCCTTCATGTTGAAAATTTTTATATTCCCAGGTAAAGGTAATTTCTGGAATATTTATTGGATGCAGGATCACATGCCATCAATAGAGAAATGCAGTTGCTAAATACATACATCTATTTTCTCAAACGATGAAACAGCAGTCAATGGAATAATTAGTTAAATTCATATAGAACCATATCAGTTGGTAGGGCCTTAGGAAAGAGAATAAAGTTTATTTCTTGAGGGATGGTGTAAGGGGCAAGCAAAAAACACGCGAAAGCAGAATACAAGAAAGAAGGCCTATTTAATTCATCCAGGAAATCCGAACCCTGGGTTTCTAGATAAGCATCACAAGGTAAAGTAAATAGCTCATTAATCTCCAGGCAGGAATCTCTGAGCATTCTCTTTTCCATTTCTCTCTCTGTCTCTCCACAGTCTACCGACATCAAACAATGTGGACATACTCACATTGCTTTCCAGCATTGAAGGAACTCTTTCACATTAGCAAGCATCAGAGGTTAACTCCGAACAAGTTCCAAATAGGACATCTTAGTTTGAAATTGAATGTAATTTCACAATGCAATGGGAAAAGGAATATATTTGCATCAAGATGTGCAAAATCAAAATTCCAACATCGCACGTGTAATTTCAGTTTTCCCCAGGTCAAGAGAAGTTATACCGGGACGCTTTCTAACTGACAAATTTAGTATGATGTGTTGCTTAACGTTTAAAAAAAAAAAAAGGGACAAAAACAAAAACAAATAATACTAAACTCATTGCAGAAAATGCTACCAATCTGACAGACGAAGGTCCAATTCTGGTAAAGTTTTATAATTGCTTGACAATAACACAAGAATCGTAGTAGAATTTCGCTTCAAAATAAAATAAATATAAAAGTAGAAACAACCTTCCTCGGTTGCAGCGGCCGACGATGTGCTGGCAACAGAAGAAGCGGCCGGCCGCCTGCGCATTCGGCGCGTACCAGTTGCCCTAACCACTCTTTCCTCTTGCACAGCCTAATTTATACAAGAAAACAAAACGAATCAAAATACAATTTTTTTTTTCGTATTAACGTATATCACCCCATGATTCTATTGAATCAATTCTAAAGACGTAAAAACCAAAAAAACATTTTAATTGCAAATATTACGAAATATTTAACTGCGCTTTAATGTAAGGCTGCAAAGAAGAAATTAGACCTGAGTTTCTTCTTCATGCTGATCGGAAGAGTGAGAATCGATGCGGCGTTTCCATAAATAAAGCGGAATTAAAGATAAAAGCAGCAGCATCATCAGTAATCCCACGAAGATATCCTCCATCTTTCCAGTAAAATTTGAGTGCTAAAACACAAGACAATCCTTCTAGTGAAGTTGATCGAATCTGCAACAGTGATTAGGCAAAACTCACTGATTCATAAAAAAACTGATCTATTAAAATTCTCTCGATGTTTAGGATCTTCTGCGTTTTTCCTTTTTTCTTTTTTCGCGTAGGGGGTGTGTTTGGAGGCGTTACAGTAAAGGGTACTTTTCAAATTGGCCGAGTCAAATAACAGGTTTTACATTTTTGACCAATTTTTTTTTTTTTTTTGCCCTCGCATGCACCACATTGGCATCTTCAGTTGAAAAAGACAATTGTACCCTAATTATGTTTCATAATTATAAAAATATATTAATTTTTTGAAAGATAATAATACCCTTAAAAGTTAAAATAATTTAATCACTTCCTCACGTAAATTTCAAAATCAATTTTTCTTATCAGTTTCTCCACTACAATTAAAAAAATTTCCTCTTCCATTTGCTAAAACATTAAAATCTCACAAAATTATCAAAGGTTAAAAAAAAAATTACTCACAGTCGGCACTCGAAATTGGTAAGTGTAAATACGTATTTTTAATTTCATTTTAGTTAAATTAGTTTATTGTTTAAATTTTTAAATCTTATTTCGACGTAGGCAGATGAATTATTACAGTATTAAACAGATGTATAATTTTTTAGCAAAAACAAAGAAAAAATTCATCTGCATGCATATATTTCAAGAAAAATTCATAGTTGTCTATAAAATAAATAATTAAATATTATTTGCATGGAAAAAAAAGACTCGCTACTTTTCCAGTTGGCCCAGAACGTCTGCAGCCGGGCCATTTTTTTCTTTTCTTTTTTTTAATGTTTAAGTATTTTATTTTATAATTTATTTCTTCATATTTGATTAATAATGTTAATTATTTATATGTATATTGTTATTGAAGTAAATATTAATTAATATTTAATACTAATTGAAATAAATATTTTTGAAATAATTAAAATAATCAATGAATTATTTAAAGTAAACAAAAATTAAAATATGAAATGAACAATTTAAAAAATTATATATTAATTTCTTATGTTTAATCTATTTTCTAATATTTTTAATTTGTAGCAGATATGGCATCAGCATGTGTCTCAATTTGTTATTTCGGTGAATTTCAAAAGAATGAAAATGCTTAATGGGAATGGAAACGGACGAGTGAAGGAGATGCGATTAACGTAATTTTTATAACAAGGAGTACATCGTTTACAGAAATATACTATGATATACAAAACATGCTTAACATCGATCCCTCTCAGTATGATATGCAATTGAGATTTTTGTTTCATAAACATTCAATCATTCCGATTCCACCTATGAAAGTCACTTCTGAAGTGGAGATGAAGCATCTAGTTAAATTGAACCAAGACCAAAAGTTGACCCCTATTTGCGTAACTTTATTGAGGAAGAATGTCCCCGAAAGTGAACACGAAGTTTCCAACGAAGAGAATCGTGATGTAAATGATGTTTGGGATACAATTCAGATTGTTCATAAAAATAATGTGGTTATTCCCGAGATCGCTGTTACTCACTATGATCACACTGTTACGCATAGAATGTCATCGGCAGTTGAAGACAACGAGAATAAAAATGCATTTACAAACGAGGATTTGATTATTTTATCCCGTAGGAGACATGAGTTGGGTGGGAGCTCACAGGCCGGACCGAGTATAAAGTCCCCTAATTATTCGCGTGTGGTTCCCGATGATGAAGATGTATATGTCGAGCAACTGTTCGAATCAAAGAAAGAATTGCAAGAAACTGTGCACCGGATTGCTTTAAAGCATAACTTCAAATTTAAAGTGAAGAAATCAAATAAGTTGACGTACACAATTACCCGCGACAACGACATTTGCTATTGACGTTTGCAAGTGAAGAAAATGGACACGAATGAATTATTTGTAGTTCGTAAGTATGCACGGGAACATACTTGCGAAATGGATATTCATCGAAATGATCACAGGCAGGCCCGATTATGGTTCATTAGTCGAGAAATAATGTACAAGTTCCAGGACCCATGAACAATCTACAGACCTTTGGATATCATTAATGACGTTCGACAAGAGTACTAGGTGATCATGAGCTATCAGAAGCTTGAAAGGCCAAAAAATGCGCATTGGAAGATTTGATAGGTTCGACCGAAAAGAGTTATACTAAATTGGCCAAGTATTTCATTATTTAGGTATTTATTTCTTTGTTATTTTAATTATTTTATTTCAATTGTTTATGTAACTATGTAATTCAATTGTTTATTTAATATGTAATTAATTATTTAATTGAATTGTTTATTTTTCTATTCATTTAATATTTAATAGATTATCTAAATTATGATTATTGTGTATTTACATTGGCCAGGTATTGCTAGAACAAAGGAAGAATTAATATTGGGTCGGCATTTTTTATTGAGAATGATGACAAGAATCGCTTCAAGTATTTCTTTATGACCCTTGGGCAATGCGTTCGAGAATTTCGAAATGCAATGCGACCCCTAATCTTAGTCGACAGTACAACCATTAAGGCGAGATACGAGGGGCAAGTTGATTATTGCAACATGTTAAGATGCCAACATCCAAATTTACCATCTTACGTTTGGCATAGTCGACGGAGAAAATGATCTAGCGATGAGTTGATTTTTCACGAAGTTGAGGAAAGTAATTGGGGATGTCGAGAACCTTACATTCGTAATTGATCGAGGGTAGTCAATATGGTATCGTTGAAGTCTTCTCCAAGGTACATCATGGTTATTGTATGTAACATATATAGGGAAACCTGAAGATCAAGTATCAAGCCAAGGACATCATTGCGTTGTTTAGGAGTGTTGCAGAGGCTTACAGTTTTGAAGAGTTTGAGAAATTCATGGTCGAAATAGACAGTAAATCGCATACTGCATGGGAATATCTAATAGAGATAGGGATCGAACAATGTAGAGTCACTTAATGCTTTATTCAAGAAAGATCGAGAGTTACCAATTCTCGCAATGATTGAGAACATTCGTGACAAGTTACAACAGTGGTTTCATAATCGACATGAGAAATCACATAGTTGCACAAGTGTGCTAACCCAGCTCAGGAAGATAAACTCTTCAAACCTCTAGATGTGGCGATAAAGGTATATGTAGAACCACTGGATCAGTTTCACTTTTTCGTGAGATGTGCACGTAATTTCAAATACATCGTGGACTTGAATGATAATACGTGCACGTGTAGACAGTTTCAGTTGGAGAGTTTTTCATGTAAACATGCAGTGATAGTAGCTATGCATAGGGGATTTCCACCACACACCTTACTGCTTATTACATAACTGATTATTGAAGAGCAGTGTATGTCAAAATAATATTTCCTGTACCAAATGAAGTCGAGTGGAAAGTTTCCGACCACATTCTCTCACTGAATAGCTTGTTTCCACCAGCAGTCGGACCATGTACTCTTGGACATATATGTACGTCAAAATACCATCTACTGGAGAGTTTCTCCAACATCTTAAGTGCGATAGGTGCGGTGCAACAGAACATACTAGAAGATATTGTACAAGTCAGACTTCTCTGCATTACAATGTAACAGATGTGTAATTTTACATTTGTTAATAATTATTAGCAATGTAATTATTTATAGTATTTACATTAATTATTTATGCATATTATTTATGTTATGTTAATTATTAGATTTAGTTTTTTATTTAAATATTTCATTCATTCGTTTCATTTGTTACCCACATTATTTATACACATTATTTATGTCAATTATTTGAAATCGTAGTATTCGAAAAAAAATTTAGACAGACTATGCTCTTCACAATACACACAAACATTATAAATAAACACATAAACTGTAAAATAAATAATTAAATATTACATAAAAAATTAACATTTTACAATTCTTTCGTAATTATAAATGAATGAATGAAATGTACAATATTTAAATAAATGTAAAAATATGTACAATTATTTATGGATCACCATTAAATTCAAATAAATCGCATGCTAATTTATTTCTCCAATTTTGTATCCATGTCTGGTCAATTGCATCAATCTTATGTCCTACACTTAAAAATTCTATGTACTTGATGACGAACATGCCGCAGTCATCCTTATAATTAAACAATATTGTATTAGCACATCACCGTCTACTAAGTTGTAAATTAAAAAAAGAATTACAAATACTTACGATATTTGCTACCGCGCAGTCGTCGTGTCCCGCACGATGGCAGTCTGTCTTGTACGGTGATGTTCGCTCGTCTAGCCATCATGAGAACGATCACAGACACCAACTCCAAATTTCGTTCGAGCCGACCTTGTGTCGGACATGAATGATCGGGGTCGTACACATACGTAGTAGAGTAGGCAAATATGATCTCCACAGCAATGTAGCAATGATTTATACACATTGGCATGTACAGATACGTACAGCCCTCGCATGGCTTTCCTCTGACACTCGGCCACATCCCTACGACCCACTCCATCATATATGTCGGCACCGTGTACTCGTTACCTATAGTTTGGAGCGACGGTACTCAATGTCAATGGCACGAATGAACTCGATGTTCAATATGAGCCGACTAAGAATGTTGAACGATTTTGGATGTCTTTTAGCTCGATCTCATAGCAAATCCATGCCCAAATCGATGTGTTACATCAAGAAATACCAATAAAAAAAGAAGTTATTACATGAATTTGATTCAAAAATCAAAATTGAATATACATAATAAATAACAATATTTTAATTTTCCTTACATTGTCGGCGAGCCAAGCCCCCGAAGTGGTGATGTCGTAAAACCATTTGTAAGCATTTTAGATCATCTTCTGAGCAATCGTGCGGCTCACTCTGAAAAAATAAGAATATAAATTTTAGTTAGAAGAAGTATACATTTGTCAGCGTTTGCGTACTGTACTAATTCTATAAAATACAAAACTTACCCGGACCTAATTACTCTCCACTCCATCTCGAAGGCTTTCCACTTGGCGTGGTCAACCTCTTTGAATAAATTGGGGTGCGTCCCGTCGACGAATCTCTTCCTCTTCGCCTCCGCAATAAAGGGAGAAACAACATACTATGATAGCACCATCGGTCTCTTGCCGACCACCAATTTCTGCACGTCAACAGCACGCGTCCTCTCATTTTCGATCTCGGGGATCTCCATCTCCCTGGCCATCTAGACCACCCTTCGTCCGCTATCCGAATCACTTCCTCT